GTGTGTCAATCTCACATGTCTACTGTGTTCTGCCCTCGGTCCGGCATCTTTACCCACCTGGAGGTGTTGAAGAGGGGATCAATTCAAAACCTGGCTCAGTGCAGTTCGTCAAAGCATGGAATTGGTTCTTGTACCTTCAGTATTTGGTTTCCGTGGAAGAGGGGTTAAACTGTCCAGACCTACTGCCACAGATCGTGGAGGTCCAGTAAAATGGGTTCCGAAAAGAAGTGCTAGTGGTACAGTGGATTCCCTATCTCATGAAATGTCACCCCGAATTCTGAGATGAGTTTTTGATTGGAACATATTAATTGTGGATGGTTGTAATAGAGATGATTGTACAGCCTAATCTCAACATAATTTGGGACACTTAGGGATGCTGGCTTTTTAATGAGCTTCTTTCTGACCGCCAAGAAATAGTATGTACTATAAAAAGTGGCTACTTAAGTAGTATGCCTTATCGTCATTGATTTTAACTGCCTTTATAGATTAAATATATTTTTTAAAAAAAAATGCACTAAAAATTATTTCTTGTACTCCTTTGGTAGCAAATTACACCACTAAATTTTATACTTACAGAATGGGTATCTTTTGGTTTTAAAAGAAGTTTCTAAATTGCCGAATAATCTTGAAACCTAGTGACTGCTACACTGGAATTCAAGGTTTACAAACTGTTTATGGACAAGTACGTTTTCGCCTACAGCTTCAGGAAGATGTCACATAGTTCTCATAAAATGTTGCAATATATCTGGAGCGTGCTTTATACAGTAAAGGCAGCATTAACAAGTTGACAGATACGATGTTCTGTGAATGAACACCTGAAAATTGTAAAAAAGCTCATAATATGGAGTTATTTTAAAACCGGAAAATACCCTTTAAGTATAAAATTTAAAGAAGGCGTAATTTGCTACCAAACGAGTCCAAGAAACATTTTTTCCTGCATGAATTCCATAAAATATATTTGAATCTATAAAGGCAGTTAAAATCAATGACGATAAGGCATATTACTTAAGTAGCCACTTTTTATGGTACATAATTTTCCTTAGCGGTCAGAAAGAAACTCACTAAAAAGCCGCCATCCTTAAGTGTCCAAAATACGTTGAGATTAGGCTGTACGATCATCTCTATTACAATCATCCGCAATTAATATGTTCCAATCGAAAACTCA